TTTTTGACCTAGATCTCAGGTAATGGGGCTCGTCCGTCGAGTTCTGGTTGAAAAATCAGGTTTGGAAAAAGAACGACGCGACTTGTTGGGAAATCTTGTGTGATAGTTGAGAAGGCGTCATGTTAATTGGGTACATCATTAGATCGACCCCCAAGGGAAGAAAAAATTAGAGCTAGTTATCGGTTTAAAAATAAGTTTATATGCTATAAATTCTCAATGGCTAATAATTATAAAAATGTTAAAAACTAGTTAAAGGAATACTCAATCAATAGCTTATGCTTAATTCAGTGGACAGCTACAAACATTTCCACCTTTTTAATTTCATAAAAGTTTTACATATACTTGTCAATTTATAATCACTTTAGTAACAATTAATAATAATACATTAATAATAATACAATTAATTTCATTGCATGCTCCTCTGCATGATAATTTTGTACGTCTACTCAAGGTTTATTCGTCTTTCCCCTGTGTCTTTATTTCGCCAATCCCAACTCACTGATGAGCTCCGGGGATTGACGAAATAATAAGGTTCGTCTGAGGAAGGAGCGAAACGAACCATTTTAATTATTTTGTTTATAATGGTTTTTTCTTTCTTAATTGGCAATACATTGTAGCTGCACTCTCATTTTCGCAAGGCCTAAAATTTGGACAACCTCTGAACAAGAGGAAGGAAGTAGAACATAATATCTTCAGAGCAGACAATTCTCTTTCAAATGTTATGTGGCATTATGTAAAAGCATGCGGAATTAGATGAAAATTTTTTTGGTTGAAAAAAAGCGACACTATTTATGAGACAACCTAATACAAAGCTTTTGTCGTGTGGAGAAGATCTTTTTGTATGTGCCTTATTTCTTGAACAACTGTCCGATCTTTTCTAAGACATGAATACTTCCGAATGAGGGAGAAAATTGCTTTCCACGACACAGAGAAGGGTGTAGAAGCAATTGAAGGAGACTAATATGTTTATTCTATAAATTAAGTACAGGGCAACTTCGAGCATTCTCATGATATATTCATTTAGAACCATGTTCACGACTGAAATTCTATCATCTTCATACCATCTTAAGTGTTGAGCACAGGATCGGAATAAATATGCGTGTAATACTTCTAACTGAGCACCCTGCCGACGAATTTTTTGCATGATGTGAGTCTTTTCTTGCCCCCCCCCCCTCCTGTTAATACCTGCAGTTCCACATAGTATGGGAGATACGATGCACCCTGCTCTCAACTTAAAAGTCACAAGCTTACTGCTGCGGCTATTAGATTGGTCACGCACCCCTGTCAGAAAGTTATACGGCCTGAATGAGACAAAGGAGAAAAAAAGGAGTGTGAACTAAAAACCGGGACGTGCGATTCAAGTTGCGCTATGTTGCGACTCATTGTCAGTCGCTGCAGCCCGTGATGCTGTCTCGCCAGTTCTTCGATTCCAGTGTTCAACACTGAAGATGGAATGGAAGATGAATGAGAATTTCCAGTCGTGAAACATGGTTCATGAATGAACTATATCATTGGAGTGCTCGAAGCTTGCCTTGTACTTATTTATAGAATAAACATATTATGCTCCCTTCAATGCCTTCCTCACCCTTCCTCTGTGTCGTGGAAAGCAATTTTCTCCCTCATTCGGAAGTATTCATGTCTTAGAAAAGATCGGACAGTTGTTCAAGAAATAAGGCACATACAAAAAGATCTTCTCCACACGACAAAAGCTTTGTATTAGGTTGTCTCATAAATAGTGTCGCTTTTTTTCAACCAAAAAATTTTCATCTAAATCCCCATGCTTTTACATCGGTCATATACCATTCGAAAGAGAATTGTCTGCTCTACAAGATGTTGTGTTCTTCTTCCACCTCTATGTTCCAGGTTTTCAAATTTTAGGCCTGCGAAATGGGAGGTCCAGCCGACAAAAATTGACAATTAAGAAAGAAAAAACCATTATAAACAAAATAATTAAAATGGTTCGTTTCGCTCCTTCCTCAGACGAACCTTATTATTTCGTCAATCCCCGGAGCTCATCAGTGAGTTGGGATTGGCGAAATAAAGACACAGGGGAAAGACGAATAAACCTTGAGTAGACGTACAAAATTATCATGCAGAGGAGCATGCAATGAAATTAATTGTATATTTACTAAAATGATTATAAATTGACAAGTATATGTAAAACTTTTATGAAATTAAAAAGGTGGAAATGTTTGTAGCTGTCCACTGAATTAAGCATAAGCTATTGATTGAGTATTCCTTTAACTAGTTTATTAACATCAAGTTTTGAAGTGTTAGGAAAAGGTTCCTTTGGAAAAGTGAAAAGTAATCGATAAACGTGAGGTGGACGTATAATTTTGGGACGTCGGCAGAGTGGCCTTTTAGACAAAAATTATTGGAAAAAAATCCTAGGATCTTAAATGGAAAATTGATGTTCATAAGCAATTCCGCATTTATATATGACACATTGTCACATTGGAGACTTTTTTCAAAACATCCCCATTTCTGAGATTTTGGGAAATTCTTAGGTGGACGTATAATTATGGGACGCAGTGTAGATGATTGATCGCCAGCGTAACAGTGGCAAGTTTCAATTTTTATACCAGCAAGCTAATTTTGCGTATGGAGCACTTCTGTAAAACACAGATCTAGGTTGCTAATATTTGCTGGTATTTTAAAAATGATTTAATCAGGCAAAGAACAAAAGTTTAATGTGACACCCACCATTGGGTGCCATTGTCCCACGCGCCAGATACAGTGGCAGCCACCGTTGGTCCACTGTTTTCTTAATTTTCAATATCTACTGTCCCTCAAAGATCTCGTTACGCTCCAGCTGGACAATGTGTTTCAGTATCAAATTCTTTTAAGCATAACGCCTTTGATGCACATACATATAAAACGGTTTTGAAGTTTTCCGTCAGAATGGAGATGCTCTTCAATTGTTAGGACATTTGTTTGATTTACAAAGTCAATTCGTTCATGTGTTTCAATGAAGGGGAGCGTTTCCTTGACGACCTCCCGCTGCTATTCGCTGATTAATGATACTCGCTTGATATCCGACCCGATCCCACATTGTACACATTATAGCTTTATACATTCCATACCCCAGAGCTGCCTACAGCCCTGATATTTAACAAAGGAAGGTAACAAAAACATGTTGCGTTGGTGAACTGGAAGACGGCTCTTTCCATAGTCAGATATATGGGTCTATAAAGGAAGCGATTACGATAAGGAATTTTCGCATCGGGGGAACCTGCGCCACACGGAGCAATTACTTGGCTGCCAAGGAAGCGATGTGTGGCCCTCCCACGGCGAAAGGTGCTGTGGTTGCTGAGCAGGACCCGCGTGACGCCCCGCCCCCAGTGACGTGACGCCCACTAGTTTTGTTGATGATCTGGATGGACTGTTTGCTGTTGGCTTTTCATTTTGGATGATCATTTCCCTTCTAGCGGCTGTATCTTCCAACTGGCGGAAGTGGTGTAGTGACAAGTGGCGCGCTCACCACGCGAGCGGTCCGGGGATCAAATCCTGGGTCGTGAGTCGCCCGGGCCAACCAAGCCTTCCATCCCTCCGGGGTCGGTTAATTGGTACCAGACTTGTCTGGGAGGATAAAAACACTGACTTGAACATCGGCTGGCCCCCGCAAGTCATTGTATAGGCCACATCGCATTCAAACGCCACTGCGAATGTACAAATGGAAGTAGAATGCGTGCCGCATCCCAAAAAGGGATTGATCAACGGCAAATGCTTTATCCTTTATTTTTTATTCCAACTTCCATGGCAATGCCTATGTAAAGCTTATGTTATTACAGCGGCTATCAAGGTTAACACGTCCGAACAACGTCGTCTTTTACCGTCGCTCATCCATGGTCGAAAATGAAAGGGCAATCAAAGGGGTACTATTTTGCTTATTTTTGACGGATTTTTTTTTCGCCACTTGGCGTACTATTGAGACCCTCACATCCCCTCTAAACCTCTGTGAGATCTATCGTAATCGCTGCCTCTAACATAGACAGATTATTTCACACCGTGTGATCTCATTAAGTGGGGAGAAAACGATGCTAAGACCAACTGATCTCAATAAAGCCTTTGTTGTGTGTTGCGACTCCTGGCAGCGGGACAAGATGCCATCACGTCGTAAAATATGCACCGGGAAGACAGAAGGAATCGGAATCCTTTAACTACAGGGGGGGGGCAATAAGAGAACGACATTTTGTCTCCACATTTAGATGGATTTAATCACACTCTGCTCAATTCAAAACGAATGCTCCATCCTTAGAAGAGCGCATTTCCATTCTATAAGAAAATCTTTATGGTGGCCACCTACGTGGACGGCATCAGAAATTTGCCCTGGAAACATGGTGCACTGGTCGAGCTCAATGGGGTCTTCGAAGGATCGTGTACCATAACGACCTTACTGGAAAGCTAGTTTCGAGGGGATTTGCATAGTGGTAGCTAATGTCCTCTAGAAAACTATCAACATTGAATCGCTTCGCAAAAATTATGTAATAGCTTCAGGCTTAACTAGCTACGAAGCTTGACGACGATGACAGATGACGTCATATTCTGA